CAATCTCTATATCTGCACAGACAATGGAACAACAAAAAATATTGTATACCCATAAGCATTGTGAAATTAAACATATTACAAACGTGCACTTTCTCTTTTCTTTCTTTTCCATTTAACCAGACTGAGCAACAGCAATGCGTGGCTGGGTACAGCTAGTAATAATAATAAAAACCAACTGAAAAATAGAAAAGAAACATGGCAAGGGAAAGAATTACATGGTCAGTATATAAAAATAGCAGGCAAAGCAGATAACAAAATCTGACAATGGCTCAGAAAAGAAAAAAAAAAAAAGACAGAGGAGCTAATTCTGACTGCACAACACCAAGACTTAACAATAAATGCATACAAAGCCAGAACTGAGAGGATAGCAATAGACAACAAATGCCTCCTGTGCAAAGACGCTGAAGAAACAGAGGACCACCTAGTTAATTGCTGCAAGATGATTGCATAGACTGACTTCAAACAATAGCATGACAGATTAGCAATAATGGTGCACTGGAATATCTGCAAGAAATATCACTTGCCTGCAAGCAAGACTGTGAGATTAGAACATAGACAAGGTAATAGATAATGAAGAAGCTAAAGTGTTCTGGGACTTTAGAATTAATCAGACAAGCACTTGCCACATAACATCCCAGACATAACAAGTGTGTCTGGATAGTTCACACTGTAGTACATAGAGACAGGAGAATAGAAGAGAAAGAACTGGAGAAAATCACAAAATGCAGAGACCAGCAAATAGAATGATTGTGCCAAAAGAAAGCAAAGATAGTACTAATAGTAATGGACACCTTGAGTGCAATCCCAACACAACCGGAGCACTATTTGAATACCATTGGCATTGACAAAAATCACATCATTTAATTGCAAAAGGCAATTTTGGAACAGCATACATTCTACAAGATACCTTTAATACCATCAAACAACATCTACCTATCCCATTTCCTTGGGAAGGATTTCAATAGGTGGATAAAAATGGCAAATCTAGCCTAACATCTGGCTGACTGTGATGATGATGATGATAACAATAATAATAATAAAAATTCTAATTTGGACTTGATAGTTCTTCTCTTGAAAAGATTATTGGAATATATGACTAGTACTGATCTTTACAGTTCTGTAAAAATAAATTCAGGATATGAGATTGGGAAAATATTGTAGAATTTGTAGAGGTTCCCTTCATGTGTTTGAGAAATTAAGATGGCGTATGGTATACAGTTTAGTGGTTGTAAGTCTTCTCAGTTGCTATATTTATGTTATTTTTGTTTTTAAACATTCTAGTTATTTTTATTGTTTTTAATCTGTTTCCATTGTGAGCTGCCTAAAGTCATGTATATGAGATGGACAGCCTATAAATTTACTAAATAAATAATAAGCAGCCTTTGTATTAAAAAGAAGTAATGTGACATCTTAAAATCTAATACACTTATGGCAACTTGACCTCATGAGCACAAGAAACAGGAAATTTTGCATGAAAGTAACATGTAAACATAAATTGCAATGTAAAAAGGGTTTTATTCATATTCCTATATTTATTATTAGATTTACTGTATATACTGCCTTTATTATGTACAACTCAAGGTGAAATACATAATGCTCCTGCCTCCTTTCCCCCCAAAACAATAACCTGTGAATGGGATATGTTGAAAGAAGGTGATGGGCCAAAAGTTATATGGCCAATTTCCAGGTTTGAAAGTGAACTTGCTTTTATGCTGTGCCCTGATTTGCTTGTTTTCTCAGCTCTTTCACATGAAAACCTCATATATATATATTGATCTTTATCATAAATATTTTATTCCCCAAAATATGATAAAAATACTGCTGTTTCAAAACTTTAATCACTATTGGAGGCTATCTTTTGCAATCTCTTGGGATCACCAGTGCCCAGAAGACTTTGGTTTAATGTCTTTGTATTGTCATCACTCCTAGTAGGTAAAGAAAAGCAGCACACACATACCATAATACAGTGGGAAGTTGAGATTTCTTCCTCTGCATTTGCCATGATGATACTGAAGCAAATGGACTAATTTTTTAAATGGAAATTGGTTTGGGAACATTCAAATCTTGGGGGAAAAACCCATGTTTATTGTCTTTATTACATATCTCTTCTAGAATAGTAACTATAATATCACAGTTTCATACAGCTAATTCCACACTCTTTGTTATGCTGTGGTGCAAGGTTCCCAATGAAGATGAAGGGAGAAAGCACAAAGGGAAAAGCATTTTGACCCTTTATAATCCTTTTTTTGCTAGTTAGTAGCCAGCTATTTCAGAAGGACATAGAGAAAAGGAGATAAAAAAATAACAAAATGCTTGGCATCTGAAATAATCCTGTTTTCTGACAAGCATATATCCCAAATGCCTAGCATATAGGTTCATTTTTTTTTTAATTTAATCCTTTGGGGAAATGGAGGGTTTCAGAAAAACAACAGCCTAGACTTTAATGCTAGAAACTTACTCTTTCTTTTCTTGGAGTTTTTCCATACAGCAGCTTTTAGCTACTTGACTTGTGTGTGTGTAAACTAAAGAATAAACTGGAAATGAAGGCAGCTTAAGCAGTTATTAATCTGTCTGCAAGAAACAGATTTCAGTCCCTTTCTTCTCCTCCTCTTTGGCTAATGTGATGTTCTCTTTGAGATGGTACTGTCAGCGCTTGTCTCTAGCCTCTCTCCTAATAAAAGTGTCCTCAAACTTTGAATTATCAGACTGTGATAGACAAAGGCTTTGATCTGGGAAATAAAAAATTTCATTACATATTATTTTGTTTTTAATGAGCTATAGTAATGCAAACTAGACCTAAACTTTCAACAATGATCTTAACTCCAGCTCTGTTTGCTGAGCTGTGAAAGATGGGGAGGAAGATTCTTCCACTAATTTGTTAAAAGAGATCCTAGGTCAAGTACAAGTCTTGAAGCTGATCCAGCAAGATCTGCCAGAGCTTAAGTGTGATTTAAAAAAAACACAAGAAAAGATGGCTTGCTATGGACAAAGTTTTTTATGATATCTCTGCCTGGTAGATTCCCCTGCTTCTTTACCCTTCATGGGCTAGCAAAATAAAGAAGAAAGAAAATAACTTAGATTTACCTTTTCCTTCTCTGTCACTTGGGCTACTTAAGGAATGTGGTTGAAGTCTTCTTAATTTTAACTGGCTAAAAACAAAACCCTGAAGCCAAAGCTAGATCCATCAATGCACTATCAGTTAACTTGCCAAAAAAGAAAGGGAAATGCTCAGCTTTTCACCACCCCATTAAGTGAATTTAATGGCCATGAAATGTATTAGCAAGGGATAGGTTGAGGACAATGTCATGTACTCCTATCCTAAAATATTCATGCTTACACTGGGGTAAGCTGGAAGTACTGATCTCCTCCATAATAACTCAGCATTCATTTCAGTGCAATCAAAAGATAAACACATCAGGAATGTTTTTCCACTAGTCTTTTCCTTCACAAGAATCAGTAATTGTTTTGGCTATTCATTAGGGAAACTGAAAGCCTGCACACTGGTAGCAGAGGAAAGATTACTTGATTTTAAAACTGATAGAGGACAAATTACTGCCAAGAAAATAACTTCAGCAAGCGGACTAGAATTTTTAGAGTGCATAATTTTGAATATGTATGCTTACACAGGTACATGTGCTTGGTCGAGAATCTTAAGAATAAGAACACTTAAAATGCAACTCTCCTTTTGTTACAAGTGGGCTGTCTTGTTTCTTCTAGGCATCATAGAATATCTTATATCAAATCCTATAGATTTAGCAGAGATTGGGACGATTTTGTTATTTTCCAGAATGCATGTGCATTATTTAGCTCCATGGATTTTATCAGTGCACCTATCTTTCCAGATGATGGACTGGATTTTTGGAAAGTCATTAGGAATTATTAAGGGTGAACTTCGTATTCTTTGCACTTTGTATATAGAAAGTCAGTTATGAAAAGGGATTTTGGTCTAATATATATTATTTATAATAAGGATTCCATAATATGAGGTTGGGCAAATTAGTCTGCCTTCCAGCTACGCTTGTTCTGTATAAATGCAGCCATGAATTTAATCTATTCAAATTTGACATCAATTTGCAATTTATTCCTAAAAAGGAAATGCCACAAAAATGTACATTTATTATGGAGACCATTTCCCCACATGCACTTCATAATTTTTCCTAATTAAATACTAATGTACCTTATTGTATGCCATTTTTCCTATTTTGTACTTTGGGGATATAATTTCTGCTCAAAAGAGGTTAAAATTTTTAAAAAGTAAATCATTTGAAGTTGTTTTAAGCCAAATATTGATTCAGAAGTTGCAGATTAAAGTAATTTAAACAAATTAATCTACTATTTCTCCTGTAGGGGAGTGAGAAAGTGAAGGGCAATGAAAACTGCATATGGGATTGTAAAAAAGAAAGGTCCAATTTAAGAATCAAAACAAAGACCCTTTTCATTCCTGCCCTGCATCTTAACATGCTTGGCTCTTAATCAAACTACTAAGAATTTGATTTCTCTCATCCAGTTTCAGAGATGTTTGCCATATGATTAATGCCTTGGGTCTACTTTTGAATGTTTAGGAACACAACCCAAGAGTTCATTTTTTCAGTAGAAATTTGGTGTAACAAAGAGCAAAAGAATATGAAGGAGTAAGGGGGAAAGTAATATTTATTGGAAGGCACTGGACAGTCATACAAAGAGTTTTATAAATAGGCCTCACTCTATATAAATCCCCCAGCTGTAATAGTAACAGATAAGCTGGCGCCATAATATCTCTGGTGACTTTACAGTGATAGATAACAGTGAAGTTGAAATTGACAAAGGGATTCAGACAACATGGCAGAAAAGGTGCAGTTACAAACTCTTTTCTAAAAAGCACATTATAGGGGATACATTTTATTGCAATATGTTGATGAAACAATACAAGTTTCTTTCAATTTCTCAGAATTTGTAATTAAGCAAAATATGAAGTTAGCTAAATTACCTGAGCTGAATAGTTGATGTAATTCCTATGTTATGGTAAAGTTCAACTCACTTTGGTTTGCAGATTTTATTCATACCCAAGGTACATTAATGGATTGTGAATAGGTTTCTTTCATCCCTCTTGGAAGATCGTAACAAGTAGAGTAGAGAGAGAGAAAATAATATTAAACAGATAATATTGTAACAAGGAACTTAGCGGTAACATCTAAAATATACTATGAAAAGAATAAGGCAAATAAATCTAATTAGCCAAGTGGATAATTATTATTATTAAATTGTTTAAATGATTTTTATTATAAAATAAATAATGAAAATAGAATAATATATCAATTTCAAATTAATTTCACGATTGCTCCCCATGTTGATAATAAGCTTATCACACAAAAGACACTGTAACTGCCCTATTTGCCTTGATAGCTGATACAACATACTTTACTTTGCAATAGAACTTATTTAATATATACCATTAAAAACAATGATTTAAAATATTTTGTTTTATTTACTGGAATCTAGAGCAACTTCAAAGCCATTTTTCCACAGAGGCATAGAATCAAGATCACAGGAAGTACTAGTATCGCTTTACAAAGCCCTAGTAAGACAACGCCTGGAATACTGCAGCCAATTCTGGTCACCATATCACAAAAAAGATGTTGAGAGTTTGGAAAAAATTCAGAGAAGAGCAACTAGGATGATCAAAGGCCTGGACGCTAAAACATACAAAGAATGGCTGAAGGACTTGGGTTTGGCTAGTCTAAAGACAAGAAGAAATAGGGGAGACATAATAGCAGTGTGTCAGTATCTGAGGGACTACCACAAGGAAGAAGGGGTCAGGTTGTTCACCAAAGCACTAGAGGAAAAGACAAGAAACAATAGTTGGAAACTGATTAAGGAGAGAAGCAACCTGGATCTAAGGAGAAACTTCCTGACAAGACAATCAACCAATAGAATAGCCTATCCCCAGAAATTGTTGGTCTTCCATCACTGGAGATCTTTAAGAAGAGACTGGACAATCATCTGTCTGAGATGGTGTAGGTTCGCCTGCTTAAGCGGGGGGACTGGACTAGAAGTCCTCCAAGGTCTCTTCCAGCTCTATTCTATTCTAAATGTAGCAAAAAGATTGTAAAAAAGAGAAGAGGTAGAATAGAAAGCAAAAAGCAAGACTCAAAAAATCAAACAACAAACAATAGTCCAATCAAGGGACTACCAAGGAGTATGAAACACCTACCAACTCTTAAAAGCCAAGCTACTGTATATAAACAGAGAGCAAATCCCACTCCCTTCTAGAACTGAAGATGTTACCTGGTCATATAATGAAATAGCTGGGAGCAAACAACCAAGCTCAGAGAGCACCAAGGACTCCAAAGATTCTAGGCTCTCCCTTATAACAAGGCCTACCTGTCAGTCTACTTCTCCCTCTGCTAATGATGATCTGAAGCCAAAGGAAGTACGCTTTCTTGTGTACTCAGTACACTCAGTACATTTTCCAAGAGGAAAATGACCTGTAACAAAATACATAAAATATGAAATATGTGCCACATATTGATTATTATGTACTATTATCAATCTGAACAGTTAAATGACTATCAGCACACAACTTTTTTGTATGTTGTTGATAATTTTTGAAGATCATGCTAAAACTTTGGCATGTATGTATTATGCACTTACAAGGCAAGATAATGTTGCCATTGAGAATGAAGGTGGGAATGACAATTTTTTCATACAATTTTTGAAGAGAAACCAAAACCGAAAGGTATTTTTAATAACCATACAACATAAATTGATGAGGTATCCATATATATACAATGCAAGTCATTGTGAGATGAATCCAAACAAAGTTTTCAGTATTTTAGTAGCCGTTAAACTGAATTTGGCAACTTCTATCTGCAAAAGTTCCAATGTGCACATATAACTCTGAGAAACTTTAGGAATGTTCTTAGATTTCTTCATATGATTTAGGACAGTTTAATATTTAAGATATTGCTTTTTTGAACAAATAAACATTTTAAGACCCCAACTACCTATCAAATCTATTAAGTTATTGGTTAGTTGGTTAAATTTATAGAGTCTCCCATCTCACTCTTGTCACTTGGGTGGGGTCCCTGCCATTTGATTAACATTTTGCAAAAATGATGAACCTCTTGGTTTTATCCTTTCCATGTATTATTGCCACCTTGAGACACAATGTGTGAGAAGGTGGCAATGCAAATTTTCTAAATAAATTTTAAAAAAATAAATTGCATCCCACGCATCGGCTCTCTGCATAGCTTAGAATCCTGCTATTATAAAATTTATATTGTGTGGGACTCTACACAAATAGAAAATATTCCTTGTTTTCAGTATTTCAGCTTCCTGTCTATAGGCAGGAATGTTGAAGTAGAAGGCTTGCTTCTGAGCACAATCATACATGAACAATTGGACTTGCAAGCTGCTCCCAAGCCCTCTTTTTCTTGGCATTGTTTTCTCCAGCTGCATTTTGCAAACTCCTTTCTGAGCTCACTATTTTTATAATTGAATGCTGGGAGGCAGGGAGCAAGACAGGGAGTATGGCTTTCCAATCCAGACACCAAGGGCAAGAGACTTAAGGACGAATGCACACTCCTCCCAGGGCAGAAGTATGGAAAAAGGAAAAAAAAATTATTTCATCAGTTTCAGCTTTCAGAATACTACTGGTTGTGAGAGCATCCGTGGTTATATTATCCTGCAAATGCGTAGAATTCTCTAGCATATGGTAGGATTCAGTATTTTTTTGTTTCACACAATGTATTTATGACCCAAAGGAAAAAAATGGAATAAGGATGTTGATACTTTACAATATAAATGTAGTGAACTGTGTGGAGATTGCCATTGTTTCTTTCTTCTGGAGCATCTTCCTATTTATGCCACTTCTCTGCATTTACAAACAATATCTGAATCTTAAAGCTTAGGTAGAGTTGTGGCTACTGTGGATGACTATTTGCAGCTGAATACCAGAATCCTATGCAAAGAAATTCTTTATGAAAAGAGACCAATGCAGAGACTATTCTTTGCAATAGCTGTTCCTGTAGGAACCATAGAAGATTCCATAAAAAGGGAATAGGTATAATATGAAGACATGGCCTCTTGTAAGCTTCCAAATATACAACAATCATGGAACAAGCTTCATATCACCACTGAATTGTATTTGGAAAAGAAAATCAGCTAAAATATGAACTTCACATTTAAAGTGTGAATGTTCAGAGAATCCTTCTCTTCCCTATATTTGTGGAAGGTGTCCCTTTGCCTTGCTTCTAAAAGTGCATCTTGATCTCCACAGATTGAAAGAAGGAATTGACCCAAGTGCACCTACTCTTCCTTCACTGATGTTTTATCAAATACAAGGAAATTGGGGTGCACAGCCCAGAGGTTCACAGTCTCAAGACATAGCCAAAATATAGATTCCTGTGCCCTCTTCCAAGTCTTTGATGGAACCATACAGACATTTTTTGTTGTTTTGTGTTCAAGAATGTATATCATTGCCTCGAAGCTGTGGAAGGCATCTTATGTTTATATTTTACATGAAAATGCTAAGAAAATTCTTTAAAAAATTGATTGAAGAATATGCCCAACAACATTTCAGATACTCTAAACACCCCAAGTAATCTTGGGAGCTTTTTGAACAGAGAATTAATGGGAGAAGCAAGGCTTCACAAACCATAATGAAGATAGACTTGTGAACCTAACATGACATTCAAACACACATGTTCCATTTTGTTAGCCCAGTTTTTGAATCTAGGAAAGAGAGAAAAGAACACTGTCCTTTTTTTTTTTTAAAGGGAGGGTATATACATGTGGAAAATGGGATCAGGTGCAAATGAGGATAAAGGATACCTTTGCTTAAAATCCAACAACAGGAACACTGTTAAGATGTTGCTCTTCTTATCAGGAGAAATAAGGGTGCTTCACTTTCTTCCCAAAGCCTCACACAGATTAGGTCAAGCCTCTTCAGACAAAGTAATTTTGTTGGTGCTTCAAAATGATGGGAAGTAGTCTGCACTGAAGCTGAGCCTGGCGGTCTAAGCTATTAAAGATATCTATATGCCATAGGCGAATAAAAAGATAAGAGGGCAGTCTTATAATGAGAAACAATAACTCTGCACACTTTGTTTACGGTTTACCCCAAAGACTGCAGATTAACACAAATCTCAGAGCATCTTTATTATAGCACTGTGTTGCAGAGTTGGGGTGGGGACTGACAACAGAGGCTGGAATTGCTAAGTAGGCTGAGACCATCTGTCCTCTTGGGGAGGCAAAAATGTGCATGATTGACTGACACCTGCTTGTCAAGGGCAGCCTGCTGGGAAATTTGCTCTTGGATCACTGAGCTCAGAGTTACATTACCTGCATTAGAATCAGACAAACAATCTTGCTTGGATTCCTATTTATTTACTTGCAGACACTTTCTGGTTTCTGTTGGCTTAGTAACATTGCATGCCTATTTTGTTTATTTTTCTTTTAATTGATTTGTAAATGGATAGCTTACCTTTTACCCCAGACAGCTGTCACAATAGCTCAGAACAACAATATGTTGCATCATGATGTTATCATATTTTTCATGCTGTGTGTGTTGAGTTGTAACTTGAGGTTTTGATTCTTTGTGTTCTAAGCCATGAATATTGTAAGCAAATTTAAAAAATCAGCTAACTAAAACAGGCATAATAAGTCATAAAGACTTATTAGAAATGCCAGCTAAGATAAATCAATTATTGAAATTAACCTAAGCTATTTTCCTGCAGTTGTCTTAAAATGTGGATCAGCATTTGCAGTCATAACGTCTCTAAATATATAAAACTTTATATGCAACTTACTTAACATTTTTCTAAATGCAGCTATTCATAAATAGAATAAATAACTAGATTTGATTTCTCTAACATCTATGTTATTTATGAATTTTGAACAGAAAATAACGCTAATGGACCCATTCACTAATATCCATTCATTCCATAACAAAGGTTTTACTTGTTTCTGTTTATTAATCAATCTTCTTTTTTGCCAAGTACTGTCTTTCTGCTCCTCATGAAAATTAATAGAAATATTTACTTACTAAACTGTGGGCATATCACATTGTTGAAATCCATGTCAGATTTATTTTACACTCCTTATATCCAAAATAGAATTCTGGCCTATCAACATATAGAGCTTCAGGTTTGGATTCAACTCCCAGAATTTTCTAGCCAGTAGGCTGGGGAATTCTGAGAGCTGAAGTCCACACATCTTCAAGTTTCCAAGATTGAGAAACACTGGTCTAGAATGATACTCTGAGTTAAAGTTTGGAAAAATATGAATTGATATCAGAGATGTCAAAAAGTCAAGATGGTACCTATAACTATCAAAGTCATTATGATGTAATTTTTTTTTAAAAAAGGGGGGGGGTTACTTAAATAGTCTCAACCACCATTTTGACTTTTTTTGGTGTCCATGTGCAAATGTCCCAGAAATGCAACTTTATTTCAATGGGACACATGAACCAATCTTCCCATATGGTATTTGATCATTACTAGTGTTAAAATGCTCTTGTCTGTGCATATAAGAGGGAGGTGGTGGATCCCGACCTATATTTTCTTTTATACATGCTTAGTCTGTGAAATTTGAATAAAATCAGCTTTGTTTTTATAGTGCATATAAAATTCTTACATCATATTTTCCCCCAAGTATGAGACCTGATTCTGATGTTTAGGTCCTTCTATTGTCTTATATAAATACAGTGAAAAATCATATGGGATCAATTGCTCATGTCAGGCTAAGGTTCAGTCAAAATAATTCTCCTTTAGAGGAGGGGGGTCTGTTTTCAATTATCTAACTAATGGCAATCAATTGTCAATTTCATCAATGACTGATTGCTCTCCACAGTGGCAGGAGCTTTTTGTCCTCTTTCATAGAATATAGAAATAATTGGCTTTTTCTGCCTTTTTCTATTTTAAAAGAAACCAGCCACATCCCAATATCCAAAGAATCATGTTCTCACATAACATATTTTCTTGATTCAGATTTGTATTTATCTAATTTCATTTTCATGTCTACATTCCCTTGTTTATATGAGTTCTACTGCAGCTGTTCTTATACTTCCTGAGGCAATAAAATCAGTTTTCTGTTGTCTCGTATAAAGCATTTGTTTTAAAATCTAACATGAATTAACATTTTAAGATTGCAGTAATAAAGACTTACAGGGCAAGACAGCCTGATTGAAATAATGACATTATTGCTAGCTAGAATACTATGTGTACATGAACTGCCATTTCACATTTCAGCTGATGAGGATTGTATCCTGAATCGTGTTGCTATATCTATCTATCTATCTATCTATCTATCTATCTATCTATCTATCTATCTATCTATCTATCTATCTATCTATCTATCTATCTATCTATCTATCTATCCAGACATTTTCTTAAGGAACTGGCACCACTTGTCTGTTTTCCCCTTTGTTTTTTATTACAACAACTCTAAAAGATTAGTGAGGCTGGAAGAGCAATAGGTTCAAGCATTTGAATTTTGCTATAGGGTCATGATCCATCTCCTACCCTTCTCCCAGTGGTTTTTAATACTGATAATGTGATTAAATTTATAAATATATTTATGCTTAATTTATTGCCTATCTTCATATGCTTGGCTATATATAAGTCCCATACTGTCCAATTATTGTCACTTTTAATTCTAGTTTTGAAAGACTTGGCTTTACTTAAGTAACTGTAATTTGAATTATAATTACCATCAGAAATGAAGAAGCAGGTTACAAAAATTGGACAATAAGCTGTCCAAATGAGCTGTCCATTTACTAGTAGCCACATTGCTAAATATGAGCATGGCCCATTTTGAGATAATCTCATGCATTTCAAAAAGATGTGATGCATTGAGCAAAAAAAAGAGGGCTACTTCAAGATCTATATCTTACATGATTCCATTGAGGTTTATATTTAATTAAATTAATTAAATAAGTAAAATTCATTAAAATGTGGTATTTAATTATTTTTTCCATCATCTTAACAGTTTGGGAGTAAGGGCTGTCTTTAAGGTTTTGGAGAGCCTCAAGCAAATTTGAGCTTTAGTTTGTGCCCCAGAGATGCCTTCCAAATAAATCAGTTCATGTATGGCAAACAATAACAAAATAACAATAAAAACTCCAATTACCTGTCTTGAACCTATCAGTGTTTCCCCATACTGATTGCTATTTTACAGGCAAATTTGAAAGTGAGTTGACTAGTTTAAAGAATAAGTCTCTTATTATCAACCTAGAATGCTCTAAGGTAGTGTTCCTCAACCTTGGCAAATTTAAGACATGTGGACTTCAGCTCCCAGAATTCCCCAGACAGCTGGCCAAGGTTAAGAAACACTGCTCTAACATGATTTGGGCTTTGTCCTTTGAGGCAGGGGTAGACATTAGGTTTTCCCCTGCAATATTGAACAGCACTGAATGGGCTTCTTGCATCAAACATAACCAGGAATAGACTAGACTAGACTAGACTAGACTAGACGAGAAGAGAAGAGAATCATTTATTGTCACTTTAAATGTACACTAATATGCATACATTAAAATGACATTTCATTGCATTCAGTTCTCAAAAAATACCATTATGCATATACCCACATACACACACATATGTGACATAGAGAAATATCGCAGTCCAGTATGAATATATACATATACATGGCAAAAAAGTGAATCCTGCAAATAAGAATAGGTTCATATTTTCTTAGAATAAATGCCATTCCAAGGCTAAGTGCAGTCAAAACATCATAGGCCCCCAAACACCATAAGAAAATTTAAAAAAAAAAGGGTGGGGAGGAAAGGAATTGCCATTTTTAAAAGAGAGTCCTGATATGAATGTTTGCATAAATGTATAATGAATATCTCTGGAGAAAAAAGAAATAAGTTTTCTTAGTTGATTTCTTTATAGTATCTCAACTCTCATGGTAGTCCAAGAATTGAGATATTGTTAGAGTGGGGACTAGGGATGCAGATATGCCTTCCTTTTATGAGACAACATCATGATAATCATGCTTTTATTTGAAAGCACAGGGTATTATTTTTTCTGAGCACAGCTAAGGGAGCGTGCAATTTGAAAAAAATATGGATGGAGTGAATAATTCAAGTCATGGCTTCAGTGTAGAATCTGCAAGAGGGTGAATGTCTGTTCTGCCTTTCAGCTTTAGTTGACTCGGTTCTAGTTTGGTAGTAGAATATAATTCCAAGGCTCAGGTTTTGATGGGTCTCCAGACAAGATGTTTCCACTCAACTGCCTTCTACTCACTCTACTCTTTGTCATGGTTGTCATGGTTCCTTCATGAATTTCTCTGTCAGTTCTCTTTCCATATTTATTTCCAAAATGTAAGACCCTGTGAAGCTTTGGTTCAAAGATTTGAACTTTTACATCAAGGCAACAACATAAATCATTGCATTGAATTAAATGTCTCCAAATTGACTGATTTGGACTTCTTTCATGCATGTAGGCATGCATTTTTTAATCAAATCAATTCTATTCCAACCATTGTCTTGAACTTATAATCCAAACTGAATGGATGATTTGACTAGAATAGAACTCAGTTCATAGGGATCTGTCAGAGTCAGAGGGCAAGATGTAGACTAGTCACTTCTCCTTCTTCTCACAGTATCTACTTATTCCCAAAAAGAAGCCAGAAACAGCAAGGTGAAAAAGGAAGCTTTATAGGAAAGTCTCTGTTATACAGGGTAGTAGAAGTTTGTCTATACAGCCCAGGCTAATTTAAACAGAAAGAACTATAAGAAGGAACAGTCCAGCCTCGAACATGCTCCACAGTGGTTAACATTTACTATTTCATTAATTAACAATATTTCTAACGTATTCCAAAGAACTCTAGGTAGCATGCAAATACAAAAATTGTAATGTTATAAAACATTACAATTTTAAAAATAAATATCTACATTTGGCACCAGTTTTCAGAGAAGTAGGATCAAAGGCATATGGAAATAAAACAGCTATGAAAGGTTAGCAGTGTCGGGACTACATATATACCTCTGGGGGTGGGAAGAGATTTCCAAAGACAGAGGATATATCAGCTGGTCACATGTTTCTTCACTGTGAGATTTGTATTTAAATGTAGTTCATTTGCATTTATCAATATTTTGTATTTGCATTAATGTTTTGCATCTGTGTTTATCAATATTTCTTTGCTCAGTTCAGTAAGATACTTAGTGTTTCCACAAACCCTTTCCTGCCTCTTGTCTTTGTTACATAGTGGGTCATCATTATCACTCTTGCTCTGTGGACCGAAGAAGATATGGACTGTTGCATCTAAGTGATATTGCTAGCAGTAGCATTATGTTACTTGCTGTCCTGATATATTTATTAGAAACCAGTTACTAGTTTGTCAATTCTAAGAATATACAAATAAATCCTGTTGATTGGCAAAATGGGAGAAAATGAAATTAAAAATTAAAAAGTGTATTCAAAATTCAGAAATAAAAAAACCATTGTATAATTGAAAATAAAATAAAGCATTTGAGCTGAAGATCTATAGAGAAATTCAAAATTATCTTTTTTTTAGCTCCATAGTCTTATGGCTAATGCACAAGAATTATACTTCTCAGTTTTATAGCCTCAAATAATTGTTACAGACCAAACAATGGATTTTCCATTGCTGTCATTCAGAGAATTTGCTTAATCCTCACCACATTAGATTTTTTACTTTTGGATAGGTCAACAGTTTGATTTTGAATTAAAATCTGGTTTCAGCTAAGCTTTAAAGGGATGACATACTATAGAGAAACAAACAAGAACAGAAAATATGTATAGTACCAATATTTATATAATTAATTATAAATAGCAAAGTAAGGTTATATCATTACTTTTTCAGAAGATTCATAGCGTTTGAATTTGTATATACATTCTGTCTTTATCTTCAGGCAAGGGCAGATTTCTCCATTTTAGGACTAAGATGTCATACCATTTTATTAGGTTACTGGCTTTCACTTGCTTGCTCCATATTTTTTCTTTTATTACTCAAGCTGCCTCTACATATTTTATACTCCTCTAGAGCAAAATAACTGTCTTTCCACCCTGCAGAGGTCACAATTACTGGCTTAGTCAGTGCATAATTAACACTCAACAATTGGGTATTTGTGACATATTAACAAGTTCTAAACATGCTTATTTCTGCTACCATGATCAACACCTGACAGCTTTTTGCTGCCTGTCTTGTTTGGTTTTCTTCATCACTTTTAATAAGGTTTTCTTTTTATATTTTTTTCTAGAGCTTTTTGTCTTTCCTTTCTTTTAGATCATTCTTTTCTTTTCTTAAAAAAAAATGTACTAAGAGTACACCTTGTTAACTCTCCCCAGGTTATTGGATCTTTCATTCAGAATATTTTCCAACAAATAAGAGAATTAGAAAAATAATTTGTATTGATATGTCTTTTGACATAAGGAGGGTAAATTAATCTCCAGGCTATGTAGGTGTACACATTGATGACAGATGAAGACCTGGCTTTGGTCCCAAGCCTGGGTTAATGTGTTGTGTGTGTATGTGTGTGTGCTGTCATGCTTTGTTTTAATAGTTGTTTTTAGTCTGAGCACCTTGTTTTGTTTTATCTGTGTTTTTTATTGTTTTAATTTAGTATTTTATTTTGTAAGCCACCCAGGGTCTACTGAAGTGGTCAGTATAATAAATTTGATGGATAAAATAGAAAATAAAGATAGCAATGAGCAGTCCCATGTATTCTTTACTCTTTAAATTTGGTTTAGGAAGCTGCAATATGAGTATTTGTACCACCTTAGCATTTCTTCTATCTTTTGTGTTATATATCCTATCCTATCTATCTATCTATCTATCTATCTATCTATCTATCTATCTATCATCATAGTTTATCTTCTTCACATGCACACATACAAACACAACATTTTATCCCAACAGTGCCAAACTGCTTTGGGGATAGAAGGTATGTATCATTGATGATATCATCATTAGCCAATAAACACCTACCAATATTGGCATTATGAAATTCAAACTGAAAAGCAAATATTTATGGAAAGCAGAAGTATCACCTTTTACAAAGAATTTGAGGTGCAAGAATGCATGTATATTATAGAATTATTATCAAGCCACCTTCACCAGTGCTCAAAATATCCCGGTACACCACAGCATTTTTTTCTAGCATGTTTTAAAGTGGATTGCTTGTTGGGAGCCGTGTACAATAAAGGTGCATTGATCTCCTTTCTCTTCAAACCAGGAGGCAGGTCTGAAACATCAAGTGAACCAAAAGACCTCATTAACTCGATCTATCAACGATGCTTTTTAATGAATAAAAAAAGTGGAGAGTGGGAATGTTTTTTTAAAGTCTCTCCAGTATCTATCCTTAAAGCAGGTCCTCTCTCTCATTATCTCAGCCCTGCCTAGGAGAAAATCAATAAACAATTTGCATTTTTTATCAATATTTAATGTCAGGCTGCAGGATCCTTTGAAAAGCTCAAGTCCTTTCAAGACTCTTCTTATCCTTTTTTATTCTTTAATTTTTATTTTTTAAAAAAACATGACAGAAACTAAATGCCCAGCAAAGGCTCAAGTACTGTGATCAGTTATACTTATTCTAAAAGTATTAACAATTGTCCTGGCAATCATCATCATCATCAACATCATCTACAAATGTCTGTCCAAGAGCAGAAATGGCATTGCTTAGGAAGCATGGTGTTGAATTTTAATGACTGCTGGAGATGAATGAGGCAATGTAGCTATATAATTAGCAAGGAGTCAAAAAGATATGTTGGGTCTTAGATGAGGGACATGATCTCCTGTTGACTCACAGTGAGCAAAGAGCCCTCCTTCTGAAGCCTGTTATGAAGAAGCTAGATGAGATCCCAAGTGGATTGATAGAACCATTACACGGGGGAAATGGTAGGTGATGCCAAATGTTACTCCCCTGCCAGCTATATATTACTTCCAATCTGAGTGTTTAACTTCATCATGCAATGAATTCCATTGACTTTCTTAAATGAACACTGGAAGAGGTAGTTAAACTGGCTTTTGTTTCCTAGCTGCTCTTAGTTCAAGGAAATATCAGGGACAGGACTACAATGTCACATATTGAGTAGACAAAGTACTAACAAGATTTCATATATGTCAGAGATTGCTAGTCCTAAGTTATATCTACGGCTTTGAAGACTTAAAATATCCTGTGACATATTGACATTATAATATATATAGATCTGTAGGAATGTATAGATTGCACAATTTCATGAAAGAAGAGCATTAGCAGGGCCCCGTTAGACCAGACCTAACTTAACAGAATTACCACACAATTATTCTTCAGCATCTGACGATGTACAGTCATACAGATCTTAAAGACTAAAAATAAATATAGTATTCATAGTTCTGCAGTAATGGATGGACATATTTGTCTAAATTTTCTTTTGGAGTGATTAATCTTCTAGCACAGAGGCTTTCACATTCTAGATAACTATCATACAACTATTCTCACAACTATTTGTTGTAAGAAGCTGTGCAGTGTTATCTAGTACTATCCATTTTACTGTGCATTTAATAAGTTAATTGTGAATTATAGTTTTGGGTTAGGAGAAAAGCCTAGCTGAGGAGCCTATTTACACTTATTTGGAGTGACAAATAGGTGCTGCAAAATGTAAAATTAATGCGTCAGGTTAATTTCATGCACCCCTTGCCTCAGGCCGATTAGTGTAAATTAAATTTCATGCTCATCAGCTAGAGTCATCATGAATGTTCTGCGGGAACCTGTAGATTTGTGATGATCACAGGAGCAAAGCGTTGGATGCTGTTTGCTCAGAGCATGAATGGCATTTTTTTTTTTTACCTTAGTAATGAGGAAGCTGTGCAATTGCTGTTCAATAAATAATGAGTATTTTCTGCAAATAGGGAACATTAATCAGCTCCAGTCACCACAGTAACTGAATGGTGGTCGTTACATGGATGAATAATCTGATCTTGTTACAACAACACACATATATGTCATGGTCTTTTTTGGTAATGTGTTGTATAATTTGCCATCAGATCCCTAAGCAGCTTGGTCCAGTTCAAACCATTGTAGATGACAGAGTGTACTAATTCTTTGCTTAGGCTCTCCACTTAAGAAAACATTAAATGATGCAAAATTGTGGCCCAAGAAACATAGAATTCTTCATATTCTCATCCTTGAGATCAGAGGAAGTGTTCCCCCCTTCCTTCTGTCAAACTCCATAGCTGGGTGTTTCCAAAGTCATGGAATCTCAGCTGCAAAAAGCCTCCAAATGTGTGCCATGCATTTCAACCAGAAATTGAGATGGAACAGCTCAGAAAATTGTCAAACATTTTCCAATCCATGCTGTAAATTTAGACCAATCATCTAGACCAGTGTTCTCCAATCTTTGTGGCTCGGTGGCCCAGCTGGAGGGGGGGAAGGGGAGCTGGGCTGCATGAGCAGTGGGTCGGCATACACACTCAGCCTTTGCCTGAGTGGCAGACTGGTGTGCGTATGCACACAGCCTTGTGCGAGCCACAGGCTAGCATGAGCAGTGGGCCAGTGCGCATGCATGCAGTTTGACTTGCATGAGCAGCAGGCTGGCATGCACATATGCGAGTGCCTGACCAGCCACTCCAAATAGGCTATGGCCCGGTATTAGGCCACTTCCCAAAGGTTGGGGACCCCTGATCTAGACTCAATAATAACTTTCTTGGAAATAGTCAAGGGTATTGCAAATTTTTCAAGAAAAATGCAAACATTCCTCTGTGCACTGAGCAAGACATTATGTTGAGATATAGTTTTCTATGTTGAAAATGGCTGTACTTGTTTTGAACTTGCACAAAGATTGGGAAGGAGTCTGTGTAGTGCAAGAGCCAGGAAGAGGTCCAAGTTCCATTATGGCTTTCCCACAAAGGAGGCAAGAAATAGGATTCCCACAAAAAGATTTCCTTTCTAGATTATTCTAAATTATGAATCTCTTTATGGTAATCAGGAGACAGTTTTATCCTCAATGAAATTACTTGAAGTGAGACTAGCCTTCTAGAACAGTGATGGCGAACCTTTTAGAGACCGAGTGCCCAAACTGCAACCCCAAACCCACTTATTTATCACCGAGTGCCAGGTGGGCGTGGCCCAGTGGGTGGGCGTGGGCTGTGGTGGTCATGGCAGACTGGGTGGGTGTGGCCAAGGTGGGTGTGATCACCTTGATATTGCTCATGGGGAGGGATGCCTGTGGGGGCCAGGCAAGGTTTGGGGAGATCCAAGGGATCTCTGGCAGGTGGGGCAGTGGGCAGTGGGCAGGAGTCTCATTCTGTGGGGTAAGGTGAGGCAAGGTGAGGCATGGCTGGGGTGCCATTGTCGCATACCAAGGTGAGGCAGGGGCCGGGGCGGCTGCTGCCTAACACCATCGGCCCCTGCACACAGAGGCCAGCCAGTGCATGGGGGCCAATGGCATCCATCAGCATCCACAGTCTGCCGGGCCCTCAACTGACACACTCTGGGGCTCCGCAGAAGTTCAGAGAAGCCGCCTCTGAGCAAGACAGATGGCTGACAGCTGAGGAGGCGATGCAGTGGGTTGTGCCTGGGAAAAGGAGAGCATGCGAGGCCAGGAGGGATGGGACGGGGGGAGGGAAACCAGCCGTGCTTGGATGCATCCTGCTACGTGGGACCTCGGCGAGTTAGCAGGTGGCTGGTTGAAGAGAGACGGTTGCCATCTCCGGGGCATGGTATACTTGCCCACAGAGAGGACTTTGAGTGCCACTTCTGGCACGTGTGCCATAGGTTCACCACCACTGTTCTACAAAGTCTTTAACATTTTTTTTTCAATTGACCTGTGAAACCCATAATATTGGGTGGAACCTGCCAGATGATTACATGATAGTTAATTGGAATGTATTATATGTTTTTCTCCACAATTAAAAAAAACCTTTTAAATGTATCTTAGTTGTATTTTAATAGGTTTTCATGTATTTGAATTGTTTTATTATGTTTGCTGTCCTGAGTCACTTTCTGGGATGGCAGGTATAGAAATGTGATAAATTAAATAAATATCCTTT